ATATATATATATATATATATATATATATATATATATATATATATATATATATATATATCAAGAAATAGAGAAATGCACTTAATTTGTATTAAGTATATATCTTGTATTTGTAATAAATATATATCTTATATTTCTTAGATTTCTGTACCACAAGAACTTACAGTTGTAATGTCTGCACTCTTGGATAAAGTATCAGATTTGGAGAACTCAAAGAAATTGTACGAGTTTCACCAACCAGTACAAATACCATCTTATCTGGTAGCTATTGCAGTAGGTGCATTAGTGTCAAAACAAATTGGCCCAAGAAGCAAAGTATGGGCTGAGAAGGAGTTTATTGATAAAAGTGCATTTGAATTTGAGGAGACTGAAACAATGTTGCATATTGCCGAACAATTATGTGGTCCTTATGTTTGGGGTAAAGATATAAATTAAAGACTTCAAATTTATATATATTATTGCGATAAAATTGCGATTGAGATTAGTTGATTTTATAAAATTTCTGACAGTGAATTATTTGTATAAATTTACACATATATTCAGTCTCCTCCCTAAAATTTGTTTTTATTATATCTAGAATAATGTTTGCAGGCATTTATGATATATTAGTACTTCCACCGAGTTTTCCATTTGGGGGAATGGAGAATCCTTGTTTGACGTTTGTGACACCGACCATACTTGTCGGAGATCGTTCGTTAGCCAATGTTATTGCACATGAAATCTCTCACAGTTGGACGGGAAATTTAGTTACGAACGCGAACTTCGAGCATTTCTGGTTGAACGAAGGTTTTACTGTATTTGTTGAGAGAAAAATCAATTCTAGAATGTTTGGCGAAAAGATGAGGCATTTTGAAGCATTACACGGCATTGAAAGTCTACGTGAGGAAGTAAGTATCTTACTAATTGATTAATTTAATATGAAATATGCATATTGTTAAAAAATTATATTGCATTGCATTGCCACATTATTTCTTGAAATCTTGTTATTATTGCAGATAAAAAACCTGGGTAAAACAAATCAGCTGACGAACTTGGTGCCTAATCTGGCAGGTGTCGATCCCGATGATGCGTTTTCTATCGTGCCTTATGAAAAGGGACATACATTTTTATTTTATCTGGAGCAGCTTTTAGGTGGACCAGAAGTGTTTGAACCATACTTAAAATCTTATTTAAATATGTACAAGTACAAGAGCATCAAAACAGATACTTGGAAAGATTATTTGTATCAGTATTTCCCTGACAAAGTTGAGGTAATACATGCTCCTTTACAATTTTATGTGATATTAATATATCCTCTTTATACAGGATGTCTCACACTCCGGGCATTTTGTAGAATGGGTTGATGTAAACATAAAAGTCCTATACCGTTTTGTGAAATTCGTAATAATAGTCGAGATATTAATTAAAAAAGATTAAGGAAAAACGCACGCTGAATGGTGAGGATGGACCGCTCGAGTCACAGCGCGGCCCAGTAATAAAGCGCGCGGATATCGCGCGCGGTGATTGGAAGATAATGCATCACTGCCTATACTTATACCGCTGCGCTCCTACGTCTTGCCGCACCGCGCCGAGATAAGAATAGGCAGTGGTGCATTGTCTTCCAATCACTGCGCGCTTTATTATTGGGCCGCGCTATGACTTGAGCGGTCCGTCCTCTACCATTCAGCGTGCGTTTTTTCTTAATCCATTTTTTTAATTAATATCTCTACTATTATTGCAAATATCGCAAAGCGATATAGGACTTTAATGTTTACATCAACCCATTCTACGTCCTCACAAAATGTCCGGAGGAGAGTGTGAGACATCCTGTATATATATACATATGCGCGCGCGCGCGTGTGTGTGTGTGCGTACACACATATATGTACATACATATACACGCTCACACATACATATTTGTTATAGAAATAATATAGAATGTTTCATTTTCAGCTGTTAAATTCTGTTGATTGGAATATGTGGCTACATAAACCAGGTATGCCGCCTGTGATACCTGATTATGACAAAACATTGGTAAATGTATGTACCAAGTTAGCAAAACAATGGATCGAATGGAACGAAGATACTGTTATGCCTTTTGCTATTATGGATATAGAAAATTTTTCTCCTGGTCAGAAAGTAGCATTTTTGACTGATTTACATAAATCATCTACAGTTCTACCGCTTAATAAGATACAGCGAATGGCCGATATTTACAAGTTGGATTCTGTGAAAAATTGCGAGATACGGTATAAAAATATGCATATCTTTATTTATAAGTTATCAGTTACGATTACATAATATAATTTTTCGTAATGTTTGCTTTTCATTCGCAGGTTTATTTGGTTGCGATTATGCATTAAGAACCGCTGGGAATCAAAAGTTTCCGACGCTTTGGCTTTCGCTACTGAGCAAGGACGTATGAAATATGTACGTCCTATATTTCGAGACTTGTACGAGTGGGTAGAAGTGCGACAGCGAGCGATCGACGTATATCTTAGTAAGAAGAATAAGATGATGTACGTTACTGCGCACATGGTTGCAAAGGACCTTCATCTGATTGACTGATGTGGGAGGATCATATTGAAATTGATATTTTATTCAATGACCAATATTTTACATATTTTACCAGAAGATTTTTATTATATTTTATCATATAATGTATAAATATGAAATAAAGGAATAATAAATTATCCTGTTAAAATTTTAATAAAAGGGACAGTTATTTTTCTGGAAGTATATGGTCGAACAGATGCTGTGTTTTGTACTCATTAAGGCCATTCTATAATAGCTGTAATGCTAGATTCACGCTGGACGCGATGAGCGATATCCAATGAGAGTATTGCTTTAAAAAGAAATGAGTTCTCATTGGATATTATCTTATTGCAACAGCCAATCAGAAGCATCAATGATGCTATTGACGCTTCTGATTGGTTGTCGCAACAAAAATTGCAATCAACTTGCAACTAATGTAACAAACTTTACTACTTCAATTTTTTTTATTTATAAAATATACAGTAGTAAAAAGAACAGGGCCCATATTCTTGAAATTTTTGCGTATACGTAATTTTCCTTGCGCAGCTATTTTATGGTATGATTAAACGCGCAGTAAAACTTACGTATACGCAACTATTTCAAGAATAAGGATCCAGACTTAGGGATGGGCGATACAGTAGAAAGTATCGATATTTCGTATCGAAATGTATCGTAAATAAAAGTATCGATAAAAAAATTAGATGGAATGTATCGATATTAGTGATATCGATATTATCGATATCTTTTTCAACATACCACAATATAATTATAAATAATATTTTTATTTATGCATTAATTGATATATTGGTATTTAACATATGATTACATACAATGTTACGTACCTATAGTGTAATGTTATGGATTCTGCACACAGGATGCGGTAACGCTTGCCGCGCGGCGGAAGTTCGCGCGACAGCCAATCAATATGCTGCTTTTCATAATAATCTTCTCTTACGGAAAACCAACATATTGATTGGCTGTCGCGCGGACTTCCGCCGCGCGACAAGCATTACCGCGTCTTGTGTGCAGAAGTCATTAGTCCTCTTGTTCCACTATTTAAACAATTATTCAGCATTACATTTAATGAAATAAGGAACCAAAAGAATAGAGAAAAGAAAGAGAGCTCTTGATTTGCGCGCGCTAGATTTTATAGGGATTTCTAGATGGTGCTGTAAGTGGCCGTTAGATGGCTACTGGGTTATGTCAAAATCTTCAAGATGTCAGTATTTGATCAATTTCTTACAACTCTGTGTTACTTGTGAAACATGTTTTTAAAATGGCGACAGTTGTAGCGAATGTTTGCGCGGGAATGACAATCTTGTGTTATAAATGTGTCTTTGATATAAACTTACCAAATAATAATATATAACCATTTACAAATTGTTGCATGGAAACATGAAGAAAGTTCAATTATCACGTAAGAAAGTAAGGATTATGCTATTATATTGTTATTAATTTTGATTAATTTAATATTTTTTTATAAATATAACATAAGTATAACAGAGTAATTTATATATTTTGACATAACTCAATCTGAACTCTATATTAGATTTAAAATTTCTGTTGCTCAATTATACTAGATAATCGATGAACCAATTGCTCTTATATGTATTAAAGAAGTTAATTTATCTATGTAACAAAAAATATGTTAAGATTGCTTTTGTTTGCAGCTTTCCATTAATAATGTCAAACAATCTCAGGTAAAAATAACATCATTCTTTACAAAAACTCCAAAACCTGACAATGTGGATAAGATTGCATCGGACATAAAATTTTTGTCCCAAGTTTCTAGCATTGATAAGAAAAGAAAAGACAGAGATGATACCTCAGAAAAAGAATTATATACAAACATTAAGAAGAAATGTACAACTGATGATATTTGCATCGTAGAGCCAGTTAGTATCAAATCATGTAAGGATTCATTGTTATCATTTGCAACCAAAGATTTAGAGGACACATGTAATAATTCCAAAGAAAATAAATCAATATGTCAGGATGTGTCATCCCAAAAACTTAACAAAAAGGAAGATAACAGTAAGTTGTTAACAAAAGCAGAGCATGATAAAATTGTTATACAAAATTCCACTAGCTGTAATGTTTCAGAATACAATAATATTCATGTTCTTAAAGAATCACAAAATCCAAATACTGTTGCTCAAATGTTGTCCTTATCTCCTGTAAAAACACACAGTCGCAACAAAACAGAATTGCATGATTCAAAGAAAATAGGATCTCCAGAAAATTTTCCCGCAATTGAAGGAAACGACTTCGACGATTTTTTCGATCAGGAGTGGCATACGAACACACAGATCAATTTCACTACTCTGGAGAGGTGTAAGATAATCGATATAAGGCAGGAGCCGAGAATTACTATTTTAACAGTGCAACACGTCGAATCGGAAGCTGTCGATGTTGTTGCTTGTTCAGGATTCTGGAAGGATGTGCAAGTGAAAATCGATGACATCGTAACAATACAAGCCAAGAAAGAATCGCAAGAGTGGGTTGTTGACAACAATAACGGTTTCCTTGTTATACAACCTGACAGATTAATATCGGGCACTACAATAACGAGCGGATTGTTCTGCAGCAGACGAGCGGTGTTAACGGAAAAGTTCAGGAAGATAGAATCGCTGCCGTGTCTGGACGCCGATTACTCCGTGATGACTGTAGGATCGTTAGTTCATCAGTGGCTGCAGAAAGCATTGCGAGAGAACGTGCACACATTGTCTAATGTGATCAAGTTGTTGGATAACATGCTGCAGTCGAGATATACGATAGACTATCTTTACGCTTCAGAAATGTCGCTGGACGACTGTCGGAAACGCATGATGCAGTATGCGCCAAGAATATTCGAATTCATCCAGCACTATATCAAGGGCAACAAGCAGCAGCACATAAACGGTCTGAAAGATAACTTTCAAGGCAGTATATGTGATATACAGGACATCGAGGAGAATATATACATCCCGAAGTTAGGTGTGAAGGGAAGGATAGACGTGACAGCGGAGGTGAGCATCAACTCGAAACGCAAGATAATGCCGCTGGAGGTGAAAACTGGAAGAGCCTCGTACTCGTTGGAGCACAAGGCGCAAGTTATTCTTTATCTCATGATGATGGGCTTAAGGGATGAGGAGATTGACACTGGCCTGCTGTTGTATCTCAAGGAGAATTCTATGCAGGAAATCAAGAGTAGCCATCACGAGAGGAGAGACTTGCTAATAGTGCGGAACACATTAGCGCATTATTTCGCCAAGCAATCGGAGAAGCCTCAGAGCACAGACACCACGGAGTCAGACGCTTTGAGGACGATGGAGCTGCCGGAGCCGATAAATCATCCCACCGCGTGCTTGCGATGTCCTTACAAGACTATATGTTGCACTTATCTCGCAAAGGATCCCAACGTGAACTTGGCGCCGTCGCATCCGCTGACGACACTCGTTAAACAGCTATTGGATGATTTTGAATCTAGTCATTTGGATTACGTTATAAGATGGGTTGCTTTGCTACAGCTGATGGAAAATTCTAATAGCGAAAACGACAGTTTAAACAATTTATGGACGATGAGTCCCGAGAAAAGAGAGGCGAAGGGCATTTGCATCAGCAATCTAAAAGTCGTTGGGAAAGTGGTGGAACAGGATGACAGATATCAGCACGTGTTTACGCGTGTTGATATAAAGGGTGAAGCTGTCGAGAACGACGCGTTTAGTGGCGCGTTCGCCGAGAACGATTACATCGTCGTCAGTACAGATACACGAATCAACATCACCACCGGGAACATATTGCGGATTTCAAATGACACCATCTCAGTCTTATTGGAAAAGGACGTCGTGCGCGGAGAGGACACAGATCGCGCGATCTTCCACATCGACAAGTATTTCTACACGAGCTCTGTGTTCACGTTTGATTACGCGAATGTGGTCGGTCTGCTGAGCACCGACGAGGTCAACGCGAGGCTGCGACGCATTGTCGTGGATAGAACGCCGGCGACATTCGCGAAGAGCCTGCCGCGCTCGACCATATCGGCCGGTATCGAGATAATGTGCGACCTCAATGAGGATCAGCAAAAGGCTGTGTTGCGAGTCGTGGCGGCTAACGAGTATGCCCTGGTGAAAGGTATGCCAGGTACGGGAAAGACACAGACTGTAGTGGTGCTGATAGAATTGCTGCTGAAGCTGGGCCTCACGGTGCTGATTACCGCGCACACGCACAGCGCGGTTGACAATGTTCTGCTGAAGCTGCTAGACCGGGACATCGATTTCCTTCGTCTGGGAACGACCAAACAGGTACATCCGCTGCTGACATGCAAGACGGAGGAGTACGCGACGAGGTGTTGTGATACACCGGAGAGTCTAGAGGCGCTTTACAACGGTAAACGCGTAGTAGGCGTGACGTGTTACGGCGCCTATCACCCGCTCCTGCGAAGACGTTCGTTCGACATATGCGTGGTGGACGAGAGTACACAAGTAATGCAATCCACGGTACTGCGACCGCTGTACAGCGCACGCCGCTTCGTCCTCGTAGGTGATCCCGATCAGCTGCCGCCTGTCGTCAAAAGCCGTACGGCTGTTAAGCTCGGTGCGGACGAGTCGTTATTCGTGCGGCTAGACAGCGAGGACAACACCGTAAACCTGACGAAACAGTATAGAATGAACAGGCGGATCATGAAGCTGGCCAACGACACCGCGTACCACGGTAAGCTGATACCAGGCAATAAGCAGGTGGAAAACGCGACTCTTATCGGCGTACACGTGGAGATACTCTCGTCCTACGAGAGTTGGATAAAAAGAGCACTTTCTAGGCAGCTGGACGACTCAGTAATAGTGCTCGACACTGGTAGCACTCGTAACTTGAGCGTAAACGAGTTGTGCGGTAACAGCGTTACGTCAGATCAAATTTATTCCAACGTTTGGGAAGCCGCGATAGTCGCTCGCCTGGTGCAAGTGCTGATGGAAGCAGGTGTGCACGCTAGAAACATAGGAATTATCGCACCATACAATGCTCATGTGACTCTGTTGAAGAAGATTGTGGATGACAAAAACGTAGAAGTAAATACCGTAGATCAATATCAAGGACGCGACAAAGACGTCATATTGTACACGTGCGCGAGAAGTGTGGAACGCGAAGAAAAGAAACAACTCGAGATATTGGATGATCAACGACGCTTGACAGTCGCTATTACTCGTGCGAAGCACAAGCTGATCATAATAGCCGATAAAGTCACTATCATGAGATACACGCCGTTTAAAAATCTGTTCGAAGTCATCGACGAAGAAAATGTAATACATCTGTACGATAGTGAAGAGGAGTTTAATTGGAAGAGTCTTGTTCGCTCAATACTGTAGAGTTGACATCGATTATGATTAATGATCAAGAGACTAGACAGCTGTAAAAATAAAAATAAAGATTTATAGACAATGAACAATTGAATCGTATCAGTATTTTTATAAAATACGATCGTATAATCACATATTTTTTGTACAGTAAACAATGTTTGATAAATGTATAGTAACATGATGTGTGGGAATACAATAAATATATATTTTGTGAGAAATACCTCCATATTAAAATATATCTACATTCTTTCGCATTTGCACCAATAATCTAGAAGGCACTCTCACTAACATTGAAACATTTCACAAATAATTAAAACACAATACAAAATAATTGAAGTACTGATAAAGAAAAGTAAATTGTTCAAGTACAATCTTCGAAGTTATTTTCGTAAAATCGGATAATGAGAAATAAATTTTGAAATATCGTAACTCTGTTACAATTTAAAACGTATAATTTATCTTTCTCGAAATACCCCTGTATATAACTCCACGAAATGAATCTTTATGAAATAACAGAAGTGCCGTCGTTTTATCAACTTAATTTCATAATATGACACAAGGAAATATAAAAAAAAAAGTAAACTTAGACAATGTTAGAAACTTTGGCACTTGTGCTTAAGTACGCCAAGCATAAGCCCCTATATTTCACATAAGTAGTAATCACATTCCACGCACGCTCTGCAACGTGCATTATATAAGTACAGAAATTCCGGTGACAATACCTTCGGCGCTATATACATATGTACAAAATAAAATATATGAGCAGTTACTTAGGCACGCGCATTCTTCTTACGACTTTACTTGTTAGATTCGTTGTAGGACGCTCTGCCAGCCAGTTCCAATAAGTAACGGTCGGGATGATCCAACCAGTCGCTGGCGCTCAATTTTACGACTCTCTGTTTCTCCGCTTCCTTTACTTGCCACTTCTTTATCTCCAGCTGTTTTTCTCTACAAGTACAATAGCGTCTCTTATGAAGCCGCTATGTTCCAAAGACTGTATCAAAACTGTTGATGAAATGTTAGGTACCTCAGCTTTGTATCGCCGCAACCCCAGACCTCCAGACTGGCGATGCGATAAGGGGCGCCCGCGATCGACACCGACTGGAATGATTCGTCGATACTGATAAACGGCGAACGCGGATCACTACCAAGTCGCAGTCCGTGTGGGTAACCCCTGATATTCGTGTTCAGGTACAGTATCTTCGGTCCCTTCTCTATGACTTTATAGGACGGAGTGAGTTGAATACCCATCGAGTCATCGTCGCCCCAATAGAGATGACTTTCACGCCACTCGACGGTCGAACACACGCAATACGTTGGATATTCCTCGTCACTTTCTACATTAGCAGCTCTTATAAATAGTAGAGTAGGACCTCTGTAACCTAATACATGGTGAAGGAAGCGATTAGCCCCGGTCCCGTGTTCCCCGCTACTGTACAGTAACGTCCAATGCCTTGGACAAATACTGCCTTTTCTTCCGGCTATCAAAGCGTGAGTTATGTCCTTCGGTGAATCGTTGGTCTACACACACACACCACGCACATATATGCCGATCCAAATATATGTAAAATACAGATTCATAGGCAGGCCATAATGATTAACAGACTATTCAAAATACTACAGGCAGGACATAATGGTACGTCTGTCGATTAATTCGTTTATTATGTGTATTTTGCGAGAAACAAACATACCTGGAGGTAACACTGCGGCAACGTACACGACAACAGCCAGACGTAGCTCATCGGCAGTAAGGTTCGAGGGAATTCGAAATCTATCTTATCCACTACAGGTGTCGGTATCTCTATATGTGGCTGCGGCTGTTCCTTCGACAGGAGAGCTTTACCGTTACGATAAGCAATCGTCAACACGTGCACCACGTATCGTTGCAAGCCGTTGACCATACGCGGGCAATGTTGACCGATCCAATTGCTCACGTAGCTCGTGGATAAGCCACATTTGCCGTGAAACTGTGAGATATTCGTGAATGTAATAATCGCACATTTTACGCTAAAAAGTTTTTATAATATAAATTATTCATCCAGACTATGTAATAGTATTTTTAACTAAAGCGAATTTAAATTAGTTTTATTATTAAGATTTGGATCAGATAATTTTAGAAGCAATCCAAACATGTTTTAATTGAAAATACTAGAAGCATTGGAATTTAGATATCTAATAAATACACTAATAAATATTTGATATAAACTATATGAATAATGAATATTATGATATTTATGAAAACTCTAGTATATTCATATTTAATAAATACTTTACTAACACATGAAACAACGACTGCATTTATTATCCGCTGTGAGTGAAGGCACAAGCCAGTACTATTATTTTCCATTGCCAGTTGGTGACAACACATTAATAACGCTCTTAGTGTCTCAGGAGTAACAATGCCGCCATCCTTTAAGTTAGAGTACATTTTTATATAATTCTCCAGTATAGCTTGATCATTCATTACTGACAGAAACTTCTCAGCTTGCTGCTTGAAAGCTCCTGTGCTTATGTAAGCAGTTGTAGCATGGGCATTATGGTGCAGATAAGTGAAAAGTTTCTCACTTAATTCAGGATAATTGGGAAATAAGTACTTTTCGAACACAGACTTGGTAATGCCATTAACATGTTCTTCTTGATGGGCAAGATGTGACAGTGTCTGTAAAAATACATATACATATATATATCAAGTTTACATATTATATTATAGTATTAAAAAATAAGCTTTTTATATATATATATATATATATATATATATATATATATATAATAAAATATAACATACAAAATTTGTTTTTATGTTTCCCTATTTGTAAAAGAAAAAGAAATAAAATTACACACACCTTATACAGATAAGCAGATAATGATAACTGATAACATCTGCTTGTGTAAGATATATAGCTACTGATTTATATGCCAAAAAGAAAACATATGATTCAACATTCTTTAGAAGATATTCAGAGAATTATGACAAAGCAATAATACAAAAAGTGAGATATTGCAAAATACACTTAAAAGATATTTCTGTTAATTGTAGGTAGAAACATAAATAATATTGTGAGAAAATTCTTTAATAATAATAAAAAATCAAAGAGATATAATTTATACAGTTTTTGCTGAGAGAATGCTAAACAAATATTCGACAGTAAAATTTGTGCAATATCTCAAACGTTATGATATTTGTCGAAGAATATTCTGACTACTGAACGGTGATTATTACTTGGAGAAGTGACAGAATAAGCGAGAATAAACGTTAGACCGGCCTACCTTTGCCAGACTCTCAATCGGGAAAAATTGCATATGAGAGGTATGATCCGGCTCGCTCTTGCTGGCGACGGTATTCGCACCTTGTGTATTTCCAGTCACCGTCGCGGATTCCGTCTTCCTGTGCGACGCGTTGCCAACTCGTGTCACCTGATTGCCCATTTTACGTACCGCAAACACTAGATCAAAACCAACTCCCGCAACGCTCTCCACATACCCACGATGCAAACACGCATGGAACCATATGCAATTTTGAAGGCCTGGGCATCGACGTCATAATAGTCACGGAACACAAATGACTAGATGCACCTGATTTGGAAGAATATTTAAACCGATATCGAATATGGCGACCTTAGTTATCGACGCAGTAGATCTAAGTAATAAACAATTGATTGTGATACTTGTCTTAAATATACTATTGCTCAGATCGCACGAGTGTATAAGCGTAGTAATAAAACGGTACTGTCTGAAATTAACTGACTTTGTGTGGATACAATTAAATTTAGCATTAAGAACATTTTCACATCGAAAGGTACACACGATGCCCTCTGTGAGACTTTCCTAAAAACTCTTCTAGAAAGCAAAGTGAGAATTTGCTTTCTAGGGATTTCGATTAGCGACAGTTTTGTCCTCCCCCCTTATGATCTTCCATAATCCCGCACAATAATTTGACCTCTTGCAGTTTCGCGATGCATATTCGGATTGGCATGGCGCATGCGTGCACAGTGCTTGTCAACTTACTGAGGGCGCGGTTGTCACCGATCAATCTTTGCGTTAGTAACATACGCAGTTCATCGCGAGACTTTGCGGACGTTTGTTCGACTGTTTGGCTCACACGCGTCCTCGTTTCTGAGCGCTCGACTTCCTAATAAACAGTTATCGCGATTATTCGCGAATAGCCAGTATATAGACATCGCCGTAGGTTGAATAAGTAATCGTCGATAGCAGCAGCAAGAGAATCGCGAAAATGACGGTCATCACGAAAGCGATCACCGAAAAGAAGGTCGACAAAATGGAGCAGCCATTGTTTGTTGAGGAAAACGCGGCGGTCAGTATATGTATAACACCCCCATCCAATTTTTATCGTATTTGAACTCTTCGTTGATTAATCATGCTATGACTATTTCTCATTGACGATGTCAAAGTTCACGAAAACGTTTGTGCGTCGCAAAAATTGCTCAGCAACGCTGTCATCGCCGTCGAAAGATATACGCTCGACGAATTGTCAATTTATGTTTGTGTTATATCTATATCATCCGCCTACCCGCTATCTCCGCTTTCGGCGCAAGTGTATATTTGCGTTTGATAACGTTGATTCATGTACGCACATACGCATACACATTCGCATACGTATATGCATTTCATAAAATCGTAATATTATGATAAAAAGCCACTGCTGCGGTGCAGATGTATATATCTTTTATGCATCGCTTGCTTATACATTCGACGATAATATATATCATTCAATAATGTCCATACGAGAAGCAGATAAAGCTTATCTAAGAATGTTATTGGAGAAAACAAAATATAAATTTCCTTTACCTTTAAAATATTGAACTGTTTTTCACCACATGGTATAGTAAATAGTTGAGAAATAAAATTAATCTTGTATATACAATTGAACATTTATTATTATATTTGTTATAAGCACATATAATGGTAAATTGTTCAATTCAAATTGACAATAATTTTTTTATTTTTAATTGGTTTTTTTATTTCTGCAAGGAAGCAAATATGCACTCATCTGATTTAACTGATAGCATGTCATAAATATAATATTTATTTTCAAGAAATTGCAATATCTATTTATTTTTTCTTTTTTTTCAAAACAGGATAGCTCAAAAGCTGATGTGGAAGCAGCACGTCCAAAAGCCGATATAGGTCATTATTTTGTTACTAGGAGAAGCATTCAACGTATACATGTGACAGCGACATTCTTGCTTTTTCTTGTTGCTTTGATGATATTGATTATTGGCGTGATCGGTGGTCTCTACATTTATAAGCAATATGCGAGAACTCAAATGCACAGATTCCGTACAGGCTGGTACAGCATTCCATATGACAGTTCCAACAAAGCATCTTATGGCAGGGATGGAGTTCATCAGGGACTACTGGCTGATTCTGATCTATTCAAAAGTCTTACCAGAGCCACTGAGCAAGAAGCGTTGGATATTGCGAGACATTTAGATCATGATATCAGAAATTTCTTCAATGAGAGATTTGAGATTGACCTCGAGAACGAGCATTACGAGAAGATTGATGTGCCTGACTTCCGCGGTGGACGCCAAGGCCGCTTTATACATGATTTTAACATTGTAAGTCAATATTTGTATTCTACTTTGTTCAATAACATAAATGATTCTCCAGCTTTATATGTCGAGCAGAATGATTCTTACGTATCATATTTATTTATAGAATAAAACAGGTATCATAGATATCGATGGTCAATGCTGCTTTGTTATGCCATTAAATCGTCAGCGAGTATTGCCACCTCGTAATATGTACGATCTTCTCAGAAAAATGTATGATGGTACGTTTATCCAATTCATGTTGATTTTGATACAAAATATTTTTGATACATTGTAATTAATATTCATGTTATGAATTTTTCTTTTTCCAATGGTGCTACAGCTCAAATCGAGCCTTGACCTCCTCAATTGTCTGCCTCCACGCATCTCGGTCTTCCGATGCCCTTCTCCAGTTTCTGACTTCCAAGATCTTTCCAGCATCCACACTCACCATTTTTCCCATCTCGCTCTAGGTTTTCCCACGGGATCGTTCATATTATGAATTATAGCAGTAAATTATTCATGTAAACATATATACATATATATAACATATAATGTATGCATACAATTATTGCATATTAGGTTACTATGAAGTGGACACTGCGATCGTACGTGAGACCATGAAAGTAGTCACACCACCCATCACTGATCTATCAGTTGTGGGAACGTACATAGCGCGTGAATGTCAAGACTTGCCTACCTATATGCTCAAAAAAGTGGATTATTCCGGTTAGTTGGTAAACTCCAAGTTACTCGAAGTAAAACTTCCTGATACGCCGACATATTACACAGTTTCTTTAAATGTTTCAGTTGTAAAGCGCAGCGCGTCAAACGGAGTATTCGGACAGTTTGCCGGCAACAGCATTATGGAAGTTGACATCGTAAATTTACAAGACTTTGAGTAAAACTAAAAAAATTGCGCGAGGAGAAATTTTCAATTATTCTAGAATATTAACCACCAGTAGATCAATGTATAAAAATTATATGCTGTCCAGCGAACATAGGTAAATATTCTACTTCGATTCTACGATTATTTCACTTTTATATATTGATTGATTTCTTTTTCTTGATGTTCTCCACTAAATTATTGTTTCAGATATACTCCCACATTTATCGAGATCAGCATTATGTCTTTCCATTATACTTTCCATTAACTCTAGATCGTGAAATTATATAGTACAAGTACGATTTGTTAGTTGTTGTTAGACGTTAAATGATCAGAGTCGTTTGATGTTCGAGGGAGTTTTATGCAATATCACATGAGAGGCTAAACGTGAATGACTAAGTCATTAAATCGACACGCAAAGCGCAGGAAAGCCGATTAAAATAGAGTTATTTAACTTGCCCGCAAGTTGGTTCTTATAGAAGCATTGAATATTTCTTCCATATTCTTCGAATACGTTATTCAGACAGTTAGCAGAATGACAATGCAATGTTAGTTGCACTATAGTAATGAAATGTTTATTACTATTATGTATTTTGACACAGCTGGTTGACTATATTACGAATAACATCTGCGTGAATAATCGGCGAAGTCAGTAGAATAACTGCGCGCTAAATCATCGTGCGTATAATACGGTTTTATATATGTGTTATTAATGATATTGTAAAAATATATTAATTTATGAATTATCATAGAATATTTATTGCTCTCGCATCGGGCAATATGTTTGAACATGATGAACTCGGAATATAAAGCATACGCAACTATTATCGCAACTTAAAACTGCTATAAAGATGTGTTTTAGTCAGAAATATATTGTTTCAACAATTATAATTATTATTTAAATCACGTTAAACATATCAGACATAACTATATAAAAATTTTTACAAAATAACTGGATTGAAAAAAATAACAAGAATTACAAAATACTAGCAGCTCAAGTGAAAGTTTAGTGCTTTCTTAAGAACATTCCTTACGCCTAGTTCATATGTTCTGCATTTTAAATTATGAAAAATACGTGCTTTAATAGATATTAAAAATATAATATATATATTCTATAATATTTGTGGAATATATATGACTATTGATAAATTTAGTATATATAAATTATTTTATTTTTGAACTGATTTTAATTAATACAATTGATACATGGATACTGATTAATTGCTCAGTTGCAAAAATTAATTGCTCATATATAAAATCTAAAATCGTTGAACCAGAACTGTAATAAAACGAATGAATTGCGACTGAATGTAACTACGATTTATGTATTGTGCTCAGTGTCTTCAAAATTTTTTAATGTATAAATTAATAGTTATATACACACGCGAACTTCAATGCCGGAGAATGTATCCAGGTACTCGGATATTCTGTATTTATTAGTTTTAATATATTGTAGATATACCGAATATCGATATTTGTGAGGGGTATGTTCTTAGCTTCTTTTCAATTCAATATTCTGTGTAATAAGAAAAAACAATATAGCCAATAAACTGAGATAACCGGAAACTTTAGAGGCGTTTTAGTACATATCAAGAAAATCTTATTTGAACCAATTAAAATCCTGTTAAGAACAAATTGTAATACGTTTCACGCAGCTCTCATTAGTTTTGGATATTACAAAATTAAAATGATCTAAACGTATCATTGCAGGATCATTTTCATGTGTAAATTATTGAAAAGTAGATAGATTGAAAAGAATAATTATAATGTGTGTGTACGGATAAGATACTGCGTGTTATATCTCCAAATATGTTTGAGAAGTTGGATTTCTCTTAATGATCGTTTTGTCAACAAGTCGACTGTATATGAAAAATCGTGAAATATATATACATATATATATATATGCATATGTTAATATACGCGAATATATATGGACCGAGTGCCTGAACATTTACAATTCATTTTACATTAGTTTAATGCTTATCTACTATTATTAATATTATATCAATTCCAGTTTACAATAAACGTAAACGCAAATATACGAATATGCAACGCGTACGCACGGTTTTAAGTGTTTGTAGGTATATAGATTAATCTCTTACTCTGGTGGCAATAAATGTAATATATACATATTAATTAGTTGCATCACTTTTTAAAGGGATGGAAATATGGAATTTTTCGTGAATATTAAATTTCGTTGATCATTCTATCATTTTTACGTTCATTTAACTCCATATATATATATTCGTAAATATATATTTAAACTTTATAATAAAAACGTTACACGATTCTCTTGTATTTCATATAGTTGTAGTTTAGCTCTTATCCAACCATTATTTCCATCTCTGATTATTAAGTCTGAAGAATTGCTTTCTTATGCATAGGGCCGAGAAAACCAAATATGTAAGCAATTGTAAAATCCTACAAAGAATAAATGGTATGTACACAAATCTGAGTCGGTACAGTTAGATTCTCGTAAAATGAAGTGAGTTTATTTACACACAATACATCAATGATACTTCATGAAAGACAGTTTCGTTATTATTACTCACTTCTAAAGTTTTATTCTAGATGCGTCGTTAATTGCTTAAGTTTTTCAAATAATAAATTAATAAGATGTTAAATACTTATTAAATCTTGTGATTTGTAATACAGCATATGTGTGCTAGAGTTTTATTTAGAAAAATTCATTGATAGGATACATTAATAAGTTTTTTTTTACATATTTCTATTGTTACATTTTATTTTAACGTCTATATAAAATTTCAAATAAATATTTGTAGATGAAATATTACTATATATATAAATATATATATTTATATATCTAAATATATAAATATTACACACACACACACACATATATATATATATACATACATACATACACACACATACACAACACATAAAAGTCCTACACTGTTTTACGATATTCGCAATAATTATCGAGATATTAATTGTAGAAAATTTATAAATAACCAAGCAGAATATGGTAAATGAGTTATAATAGCGACTTGAACTGAACAAAAAATCCTCTACAGTTTTCCAAATAATCACATAATTTTTAATTATTAATTAAAGACTATTATTGCACGATTTTGCATGATAATGTACTCATATTTTTTAATTAATAATTAAAAATCTATGTGATTATTTGCAAAATGGTAGAAGACCATTTTTGTTTAATTTGACCTAAAGTATAAGTACACGATGTCAGTCGTCGCTATTATAACTCATTTACCATATCCTTCATAAATTTTCTACAATTAATATCTCGATAATTATTGCGAATATCGCAAAACAGTATAGGACTTTTATGTTCACATCAACCCATTCTACATCCCCACAAAATGCCTGGAGGAGAGTGTGACACCCTGTATATAAATATTATATATATTCATATATCGTGTATTGATTAAATAACATTTGTATGAACTAAATCAGCTATAGCTTTCTGCCTAAGAGTATAGAGCTTTTTTACCCACTTCTCAAATCTTGCTTCTTGATCTATCATGATCTGGAAAAGAAGACAAGTATTACTACCAAATATATATCTAATGATGTGTAAAAATTATAAAGAAAAACTTACAGATGTGTGAAATATGCTTTCTGATCCACTAGAGACACTAGGTGCTGGTGGAATCTGTATAGTATCTGTACTGATATCTATAACAATATTTTTAAATTTGCTTTCCTTGGTAGAAGAGGTAAACTGTTTAGGAGTAAAACCTTCTGCATTAATTTCATCAAGTATACTTTCCTTAAAACGTGGCTCAATAGAAAAATCATCTGAAAATAATATATAAGTTTATTCATCAATATTTCCAATCATTTTTAAATTAAAATTATGATATTGACAAATGCAAAATATTTTTACCTTTTCCTACTATAACTTGGCTTTTTTCAATATTAATTTTTGCTTGATTTGATTGTGAACTACTTGAAGGACTTTGTGACTTTTCTCTTGAAGTAGATCTAGCTTTTCTCTTGGAACGATCTGAAGAGTGAGACCTGCCCGTGCTACTACGGTAATGTCTTTTATCTCGGTCTCTCGAGTGACTACTTCCGGATCCTCTATAGTTTTTTGAATTGCGATCTCTTCCTCTGCTTCTTGAATTTGAACGGTGTCTACGCTTTGTTTTTGAGTGTTTCGACAATCTCCTTCGATGAGGTGAGGAATCACTAGAATTCGAGCCACTAGATCTGAAAGAATTATAATAGCAGAATTTATTTTGTTTATCTTAGACAACTTTATTGAAAGAGATAATAAAACATGTCAAACATACGGAAGGTATAGAAAAATAGTGCAGCTTCTTATTTCAGCACTTTCCCACGCGTGTTAACGATGAAATAATAAAATTTTTCTTGTTTTACCTTGATCTCCGATTTCGTCTTCTTCGGTATCTACTACTGTAGTCTGAATCCGATTCACTGGAATATCTTGCCATATTTTTAAAATAATACTTTCGCCTTTAGAAAAAGGTTAGGAATTGTCAAATAAGGGTGCGTTCGGGCAGCTCGCTATTAGCGCTATTCAACGCTACCGTGGGTGCGTTCCGTTTCCACGCATGATGCGCATGAAACGCAGCGTTGACAGAGTGACAGAAATACGAAACTAATAGCGAATTCGGTAGCTTGCACTAGTGCGCACTGAGTGCGCATTAAGGCTTGTTTACAGTACATTCTTATATTTAAGATCGTGTCTTAAATACATATTTAAAAACATTTTAACTAATAAAATGATTCGTACGGATGTTATACATATCATATTATGGTTAAAAATATTTGAGAATTTATTTGAGAATTATTTAAGACAATCTTTAAATATAATAACATACTATGAACAAGCCTTAGTGCGCACTCAGTGCACACTAGTGCAAGCAACCGAATTCGCTATAAGATAAAATGAGAAGGAGAGCACTCGGATGAGTTCTCGAACCTAGGTTAGGTTAGTTCTCGAACGCATAGACTGCACTACCTCGGAGCTGATGCAGTTCATGCGTTCGAGAACTAACCTAGGTTCGAGAACCTCATCCGAGTGCTCTCCCTCTCATTTTATCTTACTTTCGTATTTCTGTCACTCTAACGCTGCGTTTCATGCGCATCATGCGTGGAAACGGAACGCACCTCGTATCATTCTATCCTTGTTGTATGTACATCTAAGGAGCGATAAAGATAGAAAAACGCGATAGCGTTGGTAGCATGCTCTTCGAACGCATCTAAATATCTTCTCTCTCTCTCTTTCTTTGGCTTCAGGCCTGTTCCTGTGTGTGTGGCCCTTTTACTATAAATGTCTTTAAAGGTTAATTTACACTGTGCGAGACACAAATTACTATTCGAGGTAACGAGTAGAGGTTTTCTACAGAAAATAAATTCTTTCGGATCTAGGTTTGTCTTGCACACTTTGGTGTGTATCGAGCGATAAAGAAGAAATGAATGATACAAAAATACACTAATCAGAACAGAGTATTTCCATCTAGTAAACAATCCAGCATGAAAACAAGAATCGTTTGCCATTGGCTTTAGTCATAGAGAAATATCTCGAGTATAATTACAATGTTTAATATGTAATTAGTACGTAATCTAATATATTCGGCTTAAAGTTAACAAATTATAAGAAGTTAGGAATATTGTTGATATATTCAACTAGTTTTATAGAAATAACCTATTAAGACAGTAATATCTTTATAATAACTTACGTAAAATATAAAAGCAAACAGATAAATAATTATTTCAAACTATAATATATTATGGACATTACGAAAAATACGAAGTCAGGAGATATGACAAAAGATACTAAAGAAGAGTTGTATCTTGACAAAACAAAGTCTGAAACTACACAACTTAGTCATCAAGAATTAATAAAACTGACTAAGGTAGCAATAGATAATATTATCGAAAGTGATCCACTTCTTTCCGGATTACCCTCAGATGTCACAATAGAAGAACTTAAATCACAGATTGCAGTTGCACAAGGACAAGCTATAACTTTATTTTTAAATCGTGGAGAATTACCAAAGCTTGCAGTAGTGGTAATATGCTTTTGTGATCTTTATGATAATTTATTAATTTATCCATTATATCTCAATGGGGTTTATGAAAATATATCCGTCGTCCTAATAATACAATCTTTATTTTTTTTTGGTTCTAGGTTCCACCACATGACACAACAGTTCTTGATTTAAAGAAGGCTATAAAACGACATATGAGTTTATCTTTAAGAAGAGAAAATGTCAAGAAGAAAATAAGTTGGAAACACATTTGGAAGAAATATCATCTCTGTTTCAAACATATTAAACTTACTAATAACAATGAAAATATCAAAACATGTGGTATCATAAATAAAGCTGAATTACATTTTATAAAGAAACGCAGAGAAAAGAATAAACTGATAAAAAGTTAGACATTTTTAAACAAACTCTATTTTATTTGCTAGTAATCAAGTAGTCACTTTACAGCTTTATATAATTAAAATTATATAGTATATAATAAATATGAGATTTGAACTACAAACTATATAGCTTTATTACTTTTACTAGAAGCAATTCTTTATTCTTCTACTATTTTCAAAGGTTCATGAATCTCACAAGATAAGCCAGGAATACAATCTTCTAACATCATACAGGTTAGTTCAAATGCAGCAGATTTTTTATGATTTGTAACAATCAAAGTCTTTAAATTTAACATTCTATATAGTGACTCCAATCCTCTTTCAGTGATCTTTTCACAACCTGAAATGTCCAGATGCACCAATTCTGGAAACTCTGCTGATATCTTGTCTAAACCCCAGTCATCAATGTTCTTGCAATTCTTGATACTAAGCCACTTGAGCTTTGTGAGACCACATAAGTTACTCAGACCCTCGTAATACAGATCAAATCCATTGACATCTACCATTTCGAGAATGTAGTATGGATCGAATTTGTTGGGTAAATTTGAAGTACCATCCTTATTTAATTCTACCCAAAAATCAGAATTTTTAAACTTCACCTTGCCTCCACGATATACGATGAAGTGAGCGGTGGCCAAATTGCTCCCTAATGTCTCGTGTCTCTCTGGTATAAATTCTTGATTCTTCTTCTTCGTTAGGGTTTTGTGATAATTGTACCAATGTTTTAAGTTACCGATTTTAAATTCATGTCCTGTTGGTGCTGCAGTCGGAAACCATAAAAATGTTTTGGGCTTCTCCGGATCATCATCGGGTAAACTCTTTTCCAGATCTTCTTCTTTATTTCGCCGTTCATATTGTTTAATTTCATGATCCATACCGTACGTGCGAGTTTGCACGAACAAGAGTGATTTATCTCGAAAACACACAAGCTCGCTTATCTTTTGAGTTAGTACGGATGGTATTCGTCTCGTCAACATCTTCTAAAAGTTTGAGTAAAACTCGGTTCCGCAGTTAGCTTTTTGGAGGTTATAGGTGCGCTGATAGGAACGTTTTGTACTCTAACCTAATATGACAACCTAATCCAAAGTCTGTTCGTTTTAATTGAGCAAGTTTAGCTTTAGTAAGGTTGCACTTTATTACCTTAAATAAGTACATAATAAAGCATTGAAATTCCGGTTGAAATATAAGATTGATTCATTAGGTACAGTTTGTGATTTGCAGTCTCAAACTTTTGAATGAATGTCACGAGTATATATTGCCAATCTTCTATAATTATGTATCTTCTGCTTACAAATATATATTCCTATTTTGTACATACAATTTGAAGATTTTTAAACAATCTTATACTGCTTTATACTGTCTTGGCTAGAAAATTATTGTTATACCTATATCAGCTTATTAAATAATTATAGGTTGCAGTAAACAAAACATTGCACTTTTCTTGAATAATAATGCAAGAACTATCTCTTCCTTAAAATGTGAATTGGTTAAAGTTATTTGTACATCATAACATCAGGGGATTGATACATGCACATATATGCATCGCATAATAAACGCTTTGCATGTTCTGGTAAGTGTCGGTCATCTGTCAACTTAGTCAGGTAATTTCCTCCTTCTTCACTTAACCAATAGGGAAAATCTGGGCATGGTACCATTTCTGGTATATTGTATCCATTTTGTTCTCCTAATAAAAATCAAAATTAATATCAATAATCACATACAACTTATTGATAATGAAATAACAATTTTCATTAATGTTATCATGTAAGAAATTACTTTTTATGGAAGATTAAATAAATATAAGTAAGATACCTTTCCTATCAGCCATAGAATCAAAGAAACACCATGGTGCTTCTGAACCAGGACCACATTTCACAAAAGAAACATAATGTGAGGTTTCAATGCAAACTACTGCGGAAAGTTCTAGATATAAGCGCGGTACATAACAATGTTCTTGCAAAATTGCAAACTCCATAGGCACAACTAGTTTCTTTGGCTCATGGTTCGTCCTTCGTTCATGACAATGTACCTAAGGAAAATACGATCATTTATCTTCTAGAATATTCTTAATTAGTACTTTCACAAGTTTTGTCTGACAAACCTTTTCGAGACATTTAAAGCAAAAAGCTATACTCTCGAGACCAACGCCGCATTGTCCGTAACATTCTTTGCACTCATATTCTGCTAATTTTCCGCAAACTGTGCACTGTCTAGGGGCTATAAACAATATGCAAATATTGCAAATAGTTATAGACAGAAGCGGTTAAAAAATAGGCAGTGATACAATGATACTCAACAGTCTTCGATAATATCCGTTACATCAAGCAGTAATGTAGGCTGTATTTTTTGATACATTTTAAATGATTTGCCAAAACGAGGCATCTGTATGATGAGACACGATGGAACTTCTTTCAATCTGATATTACTGGTTAGAAAACTCTGTTCCAATAATTGCTGCACAGTCGGTAGATTTAGATGATCGTCCTTCTCAACAAACAATTGATAGTGATATGCGTCCTGTCCGGAGCTCAATTTGAGAAATGGTTCGGCATTCAGAATCTGGGCAACCAACGACGTTAAAAATTCTTCTGGATCTATGATAGAAGTATTACAAATTTATTACGTATTAAACATAATAATTTACTCAGAATAAAATAAAGTATCCAAAAAATATAAAGGCGAAACCTTTTTCCTCACTAGTCAAGCCGGATACTGATGACAGCTTTTCAAGCAAAGTCCTGAGCTTCATTACACGGTCTGCTCTAACAAACATGTTCTTCCTGAGCGGATTCACGATTTCTTCTCGTAAAACTCTCTGCACTTCTTCATACTGTGGACAGTCTTTTTCATTCGGTGGTCTAAAAAATTGTTGATATAAATGTTTAAGAAACAAAGTATTACATTTAATGATAGCACCGCACACGTATAAATATAAGCTAAAACTCTGAATTGTTTTGAAATAATATATTGATTGTATTGGTGCAAAACAAATTACCGAAATAGGAGATTGTCGAATACACTAGTAAATGTAAACATGCTAAAGAGCGTAGCGTCCAAGTAACATGAATTATGATGGCCTTGGATACCACGATATTTGCCGCATATACTTTCCAAGTCTCCTTTGACGGAGATAGGTCTCACTATGCCTGCGATTACGGAACATTCCATGTTACCGAAATTGTCGTTGTTTGTAAGTGCGAGCCGCTCGTCAAGCTTTGTCTGCGAAAACATTTTTCTTATTTATTCACAAAGTCGCATAAATATTCAATAGCCAATGTTGCGTGATTCATTCCGCCCATACTCACATTCTCGTAGAGAGAACAGTGTTCAATGTCTGTAAATACAGCTCTATGAGGCCTGCAATGGAAATATCTAATGTCCTTGTAAGTTCCATCGGTACCTAAAGGATGTCCATCATCCTATGAATGACATATCGTTGAACTTTGTTTTCTGGCACTTTTGTAACAGTCCAGATTATCGTAAATTGCTTGTCATAGTTACCAATTCCACAGCTGCCATCAATTTGTCAGGACTAATACCAGATGGTGTACCAATCCATCGAATAACCCCGTAGTGAATATCAGAATCCAATAACACTTTCACATTAGAGCCTACCATTAAGTCTTCCTTATTTTCTATCTTGCTGAACTTCTTGATTTCATTTTTTTCCGACACATTGCCTACAACAAATAAGATTACGTTCGCCATAATCGTTTGTAGTATTTATCCATACATTTCTATACAGGGTAACTTTATTGGCAATTTTATTCGACCTTTCGTTAACATAAAAAGAATACAGAAAAGCAACTTATTTTTACTTGGAGATTTGTTATAAACTGATATTATGAGTATCAGTATCACTTTCCGAGAAAATCAGATTAAGTTATAAATTTATTTAAAGTTATTGTTGAGATCTCTTATATAGTTTTAAATAGTTTAAATAATTTATACTTATATTTATTAAAGCTTCTTTCTTCTGATTTTGAAATATAGAAATATTTGTAAGATTTGTGGTGTTTCTTAGACTCACTCTGTATAGAAATACAAAGATAGATAACGCAATATATACAAAGATAACATTTAAAGACTTATCTGATATTTGTACAAGTATAAACAAATGTTTGAGGTGCAGGTAGAGGCAAGATATCGAATGTATCTTACTGTAATCCAGCAAACTTAAGCGATCATGCATTTCCTCCACATCACTGTACACATTCGATTCTATATCACTACTCCATTTGTGCTCCAATACAAAAATAGGAATGTTCTGCAGTGCTGCTGCCATTATTTAAATAAAAGATACAATAACTTTCGCGACCGCTGTATAAATCTGCCGGCAGAGTTCTCTAGGACAGGCTAGGTTCGCGTCTATTCTCGGATACCTGCGCTATTTTTAACTCTCTCTGTCGCACGGAAGGAATTAACGTGCTTACAGCTAATTTCACTCTAGAGTTCTTAGGGAAAGGTATCGGGATAATAAATAAGTATTTATTGTATCTTTAGTCGATAGTGAAGTTACCGGATTTAAAGAGAGCGTGATCGAGATTCTTTGTGAAGTTATTGACGTCATTCTCGAGACTTGATTTTGCAATTTTTTGACGTTCCTTCAACATGTTGACAGATTCACGGTTGTTGTTTTTGTTGTCGTCAAACGTGGTAAATTGTTCTAGCAGAATAGCCGGTGTACTGTCAAGCACAGATTTCTTTTTATCATTACTATAGTCAGTTCCTGTGCTACCTTTCAAGAACAATGATGCTGGAATAAAAATAATATAAAATAAATTGGATTACCATAAAGACATTAAAGAAATGTTAAACTGTAACTGATCTGTGTACTTTTTTCAATATTGCTGGAGACTGTGTCAGTTTCTTTGTAGGGGCATATGTTGCTTACAGTAGCAAATATTGCATTCCAATGTGTGCAAGTAAAATATTCTTTGATCAGTGAAGATGTCTCGGATGTTTCTTGACTTTCCTGTAACATATTTATGTGATTATAGTTAATAATAGTGATTATTGCATCTTCTCTTATCCAAACAGTGTATCCATTTGCACTTGATTATTATGTTATAAATTACATATTGCAACATGTACTTTCAAAGGTACATGTTTTCTTCTTGTCAGTTTACTTTTCTAAAGTTTAATTTTTTAAGTTCAAGATTGTTCAGTGATCAATAGTTCTATAATTGGTAATTTATGATACAATTGCTATCTTTATTAACTTTCTTTTAGAAACATTACAGACAAGAAGAAATAATTGTCCATATTTTGAAATTTTTAATCAACAGTGTCACTAAAAGTAGTCAATCAGAAGGTTTACATGCCACTTTTAGAAACAAAAGTGTCTAGAATATTAATGACTTTTAAATATATATATCTCAATAACTTTTTCTATTTTTTAAATATATATATATATATATATATATATATATATATATATATCTAAGTATATACTCTATGTACTCTACTTTAACAAGTTCAAAATTGAAATTTTTGATAGACAGCAGCAAGTAAGATAGTCTCAATTCACCAGTAGTTCAAGACCAAAGTAATGTCCTAGTCCTAGTTCTGTCACAGGTCCAATATATTTCACAAACGCTAACTCCTTAGAATGTTTATTAGGATCGCAGCAGTACCAGACTTTGTCCTTTACAGATATATCCTTTATTTGCTCGCACAATGCTTTGTTGCTTGCCAATTGAACTCTCTCCTGCGGGGATTGTACTGCGAGCAAGTACTGCCGTATCTTGTGCGACACTGGTATCAGATCGTACTTGTGGCAGCGCCATTCTGTGCCGCACCAGGTTTTGGATCCCGCGGTGTCGATTACGCGTATTTTCAACGAGCTATCCTTCAAATCCTCGAGCGCTTCTACAAGCATTCCCAGACGTAACTCGTTAACGTTAACGTCGCATGCTCCAAGTATTCGTAACAGTACCGTGTCTCGTTTGGCGACATAATATTGCCGGCGTTCCTTGCCACCGTCAGAGCTGCGATCTACCATGGTCAAATACAAATAATCATTTGTACTGTATCGATTTCTCGTGATCAAAGAAATCGTTGATGTTTATTGACATACGGCCGAACGTCAACCTCAATGTTTGTTGTGGTCTAGTCACATAATTTTATTCGAATATTACGTATCCGCTTGACGATCATTTCATCTCTCTTCGAATTCTTGGGGGAGTTTTTGTAAAAACACGAGATTGTTTCTTTACTACATATTTCAATAAACAATTTACCAACGAATTTTATGATGTCATACTACTGTCATTCGACATATTGGCTGCGTTCCGAAATTCACTGCCAGTACTAAAATTCTATAGTAAATAAAGTACTATTCTATAGTAAATTCTATACTAAATTCTATAGTATATGTAACATGAACTATAGATTTTCAGTATTAGCAGTGAATTTTAGGGGAGCGGTGCACTTGGACACGGTGCATTTGGACACAGCCAATCACAGCCCCGTGTGATTAGAGACATTTGTAGGGTCCCTTGGAACAGCGACTTGTGATTGGACTGTGTCCAATTGCTCCGTGTCCAACTGATATACACCCGAATTTTAGAACGCAGCCATTGGCGTGCAGTTGGGATGAATCTTTTGGTCTGTTCCATGGACAACAAAATATATTTGTCTCATTTTAACTTATTGCTAGTTCAGCAGTGCAGCTAAAAAGAACAGACCGCATATTTCTATAGCCCTAGTTTACATCGATTGCTTTCCAACAAGAGACACAAGTCGACACAGGTTGCTTTCCAACAAGAGACACAAGTCAACACAAGTATCATCCTATCTTTGTTACTCACTAAATGTAGAACAAAGATAGAATGATTGTGTCGACTTGTGTCTCTTGTTGGAAAGCAACCACAAACATCATTCTATCTTTGTTCCATATTTAGTGAGTAATAAAGATAGGATGATACTTGTGTCGATTTGTGTCTCTTGTTGGAAAGCAACCATCGTGCACTTGATACGCGTACTAAATAGTAACTTTCTATTAGATAATCTTAATATCGACGATATATATAAACAACGGTATATTAAGCTGGTATAATACTTATCAACAAAACGTATTGTATTGATAGAATGCGTCGCTGTTGATATGCATTGTCGATATTAAGATTATCTAATAGAAAGTTACTATTTTGTACGCGTATCAAATGCATGATGTAAACCAGGCCATTTGCAGGATTCACATCGCGTCCGATGTCCGACTAAGACGTCCGATATCCAATAAAAGAATAGCTTTCCAATGAAGAATTGAATTCTATATTAGAAAGCTGTTCTTCTATTGGATATCGGACGACGTATGACGTCCGATATCCAATAAAAGAATAGCTTTCCAATGAAGAATTGAATTCTATATTAGAAAGCTGTTCTTCTATTGGATATCGGACGTCATACGTCGGACATCGGACACGGTGTGAATCCTGCAATTAGCCTGATTTACATCGTGCACTTGATATACATACTAAATAGTAACTTTCTATTAAATAATCTTAATATTGGCAATGCATATCAACAACAACGCATTTAATCGATACAATACGTCTTCTTGATGAGTATTATACCAACTTAATATACCGTTGTTTATATATATCGTCGATATTAAGATTATTTAATAGAAAGTTATTATTTAATACGCGTATCAAATGGAAGATTCACACCGCGTCCGATGTCCGACGTACGTCGTCCGATATCCAATAGGAAAACAGCTTTCCAATGGAGAATTGAATTCTCTATTAGAAAACTGTTTTCTTATTGGATATCGTTTGTCGTACGTCGGAAATCGGACGCAGTGTGAATCTTGCAAAAGGCGTTTTTTCGTTTCGTGACCACGGTAGCGTTTGGTTGATTAGTTTGGTCCATTTAACACTCGCAACGCTTGAGCAACAAAGATAGAATGACGCTCGCGGCGTTGCCAGTGTTAAGTGGACCAAACTAACCAACCCAACTCAACCGTGGTCACGAAACGAAAAAACACCTCAAGTGCACGATGTAAACCAGAGGTCTGTTCTTTTGCCTGCGCTGTTGCACTGGTGCAATAAGTTAGAGTGAGACAAACATATATTTGTCTCACTCTAACTTATTGCACCAGTGCAGCAGTGCAGAGTGAAAGAACAGACCACAGGCCTGGGAGAATGGAAGGTTCGTCTGCGCTGTCGTTGAGTTGTGCGCGTATTACTTGAAAATAAAAAATTCGTCTACCTTGCCGTTGAGTTGTATTACGACCTCATTTTAGCTGCGTTCCGCAAGGTGCACGTTTGTATGAGATTTATCTGTGATATTTCCCGCGCGATATATGAGATTCTCAGCGGCTCCTAGGAATCGTACAAATATGGGTGACACCGGTCACGTTGATGTGTTAAGCGGTGATTCCGCGCGTTTAACAACGGATTCTGGCTTTAGCGATCTTCTGAGATCGGCAGAGCAATTGTCCGCAGCGGTCGAAGGAAATGAGGAACTACCACAAGTCGAGAGAAATCTTCGGCAGGTACTGGAAGCTTCCAATGAATTATGGGCTCGTGTCACTCAAACCAGCACGCAGGACAACGAAGCACAGGCGTAAGTTTATTTCTAAAACTACTGTCGGAGGTACAATAATTCGATGCATGTCTATGTAGATTTCTCCTAATTTGTAATCAAACTAGTACAAATTTTTGAATCATGCGTGACATAACCTAACATATTTGTGAAATAACCGGTTGTGTTCATTGTATTAATATTCATGTATATTCATGTAATATTGTTACTGACAAAATGATATTTTCAGTCATCTCTTATTAGGATCTCGAGGGATAGATTTGCCCCAGATCTCACAGAAGTTAAATTCGCTCAGTGCAAGACGTACATTTGAGCCTTTAGATCCTATTGCGGATACTGACATTGTTAGCTTTCTCAGAAATGAAAAGGAAAATGCAATCCTTTTCATTATTGAACAGGTTCATAGAGATGTATGTATGATAATAATTGCTCAAATATCATATGTTTGTGTATGTATGTATTTACAAATAATTAACTTTTTTTGTAGACATTTGAGCTTACTAGAACTGAACAAATGGAGCATATGCTGGGTGAATGGAAGCAAATGCGTTATGAAATAATAAATGCCATGACTGCACCATCTGGTGAACTAGTGGATTTACGTGGAGCACCACAACGTACAAAACTAGCTGGTTCAATGGTCAGCGGTCTCTCCAACATAGAGGTGGCATATGTGAAAGAAATACAGAATTATAACGATCATGTACTTAGAGGTATAACACGACCCAGCTTATTCACTGCATTCTACAAAGCCTCAGAATCATTCAATGACAAGAAAATCACAGAGCTTTGGCAAATGGTGAAGTGTATGGTTGATATCCCACCAACACCCAGAGGGGATCAGATAAAATCTAGAAGCAGTCCAGTAATCGAACAAAAAATTGTTTCACAAGCTAGAAAGTATCTAGAAAATAGATATAGAGACTTTATGAATTCCATCATCAACGATAATCTGGCACAGGCAAAACGCGGCGGCCTTCCTGGCACTATACCTTTGATTAAGAGTTTTGTGGGTGTTAAAGTACAAAACTTGCCAGACTTGGAAGATGTTATGGTCGAGGATAAGCCGTTGTGGCCGTTGGTATATTACTGTATGCGATCTGGCGATTACAAAGCCGCGTTGCAGTGTCTCAACCAATGCGCTACAGAATTCCCGGAATTCAAAACTGCGCTTGAAGAAGCTTGTGACGATCCGCAGCATCATCCAAGCAATCGCGCCGAGTCCATCCTGAAGTTGCACTGCCGGAAACAAATGCGATCTGTCGGTGATCCATATAAGAGAGCAGCGTATTGCGCTTTAGTTCCTTGCGAACCTGACGATCTCCACTCCGAAGTTATATCTACGGCAGACGATTACTTATGGTTGAAACTGTGTCAAGTTAGAGAACAGTCGGACGTTGAGAATAAATTGACGCTGGATTATCTGCAAACTACGATCTCGGAGATATATGGTAACACAAATCTGAGCATTAATTAATATTAACAGCATAAAGGGAATCTTGAATAAAGCGTGTAATTACAATAGTTTGTTGGGGATAAGATATTGGAATTAATTAATATTGATAATTTGGAACAAAGAGTCAATCTCACGTGATAGGTTGATTTATCGCGTACATTGCAAATCCTGAAAAATGTTCGGCACGTGCATTAACATCGTCAGACATTATCCTCTTATAGTTTAATATTTATACTAATTACGATTGACTCTCATTTGTTGTCTTTCTCTCATTCGGTTGAATACTCAGGAACCATGTTGTAAAATTTTCCCCTAAAAATATGAAAAATGTGAAAAATATGAAAAATATGAAAAATGTTAGAAAAAAGAGAATAATTATTTTTTTTATATTTGATATCATATTTGATATTTGATTGCTTTATATTATTAATTAATGATAAGATTGATTCATTTAATTGATTTTTTATAAATTTTGATATAATTAAAGTGAGACAGATCCTATAGCTGAAATCTTTTTTATCTCAGTAATTAAAACTATTTTACTATCATAAGGCTATATATATTCTTCTTTTGCTACTGCCATTTTCCGAATCAGCTTCTATCATCACACAGGACCACCACTAGAACCATCATTTGTTCAAGTTTTTTATTTCTATAGATTACAATATTAAGTCGTTAGCTGGAGTCTAAATGAAATATATGCTTTAGAATCGATAGCTATTCCTGGCTAAATTGTATATTTAAATACAAGGAGTAAATTGTATATTTTAATCGATGTGTTTTACAGGAGAAACTTATTATCATGCACACGAACAGCCCTTTTTGTACTTCTCAATGTTGTTCTTAACTGGACAATTCGAAGCAGCCATAGAGTTCTTGGCCACGGGTGCTGGAGCGAGACATTTGCCGCACGCGGTGCATTTAGCGGCTGCTATGCACGAGCACAATTTATTGGCCGTCAGTCAGAGTGTTTTGGCGCCTCTGATAAGTGTGGATCCTGCTGACAAGCCACCGGCGAAAAGACTTAATTTCGCTAGACTGATATTGTTGTACGTTAAAAGATTTGAAGCATCAGATCCAAAGGAGAGCCTTCATTATCTATTTTTACTAAGGTACGATTCATATTCAGTGTTACTCGTCATTTGCGATTGGTTGTTAAATTATAAAATTGCTGTTATCGACGCTGTACTTTCAGATGTATGAAGGACTCGTATGAGCGTAATATGTTCGCGGCATTTGCTGCGGAAATGGTGGTAGATGCTACTCCCGCAAACCGCGTTTTGTTAGTCGGAAAGCTTGACAAAGATCGAAGACTACCAGGAATCTTGGATCAATTCCAAATCAACACGGACGACGTAATAAATATATGCGCCGACATGTTATATAGGAAAGGTCTGCTGGAAGACGCAGTGGCGATGTACGATTTAGCAGGAAATCAGGAGAAAGTCCTCAGTTTGATGTGCACGCTTCTCACACAAGTAGTCAGCCAAAAAGGAATACCTGGTTCTCTCAGAACACGTTTGCAAGTTACAGCCATGGACATTAGTACGAGGTACATACATATAATTTTATCTTTAACTTTTGAATCGATTTATTTTTATCAATTACTCTCCAGAAGTGTTAATTTAAACATAAATTCACATAATTTCTTGCATCTAGAATTAAATTTATATTATCTATAAATGTCACGAATCTTTTTTTTTGTAGATACAAAGATGCCGCAATTCAAGCACCTTCCGAAGTAGTATCTTCATTTTACACTTTGAGGGATCTTATGGTTTTCTTCGATCAATTCCATAATGAACAATATCAAAGTGCGCTTAGAGTAAGTAGCTTTTCGTACATGGCATTAGTTATTTTTAGGAGTATATGGAACTGAACAATCTTCGTGTTTAACTTGTATTAAGTTGAAGATTTTGACAAACTAATTTTATTGTGTTTTTCTTTAGACAATTGCAGATTCGAAAATGTTACCTCTCCAAGTAAAAGAAGTTGATGAAAGAGTGAATGCTTTACGACGAGTATCGCCCGAAGTAGCTGGCACATTGGCCGACGTTCTCCTAGCTACTATGACAATATTATATCGTCAGTATCAAAAATTGCGCTCGGTGGAACCAGGTGATGAGATTGCGCGAGAGCAACAGTTGCACGATCTTCGAGAGCAAGCCCGGGCATTAACGAGTTTCGCAGGGACTTTGCCATATCGTATGCCAAACGAGACGAACAGTAAACTTGTACAAATGGAGATTTTGATGCATTAAGAAGTCGACTGTTACTAAATATAAAATTAAACCTTTAGAATCTATTAAATCGAAATCGACAAGTTTGTTTCAACCTGTGTATGTAACATAGAGTTTGATGATCATTAACAAATATCACATTTGGCATCTGCCGATGTAAGATTAAAATTTTTAGTATTAATTTAACGTTAACATTCTTTCTCTCTTTAATTTTAAATATAACAAGATTGCTCATTTCCATCACCAAGTATATAATAATAAAAGTAGTATTGTTTTGAGATAACAGGTGATTTTTGTAGGTGTTCATTTCCTTCGTGTACTATATATAATGTTGCAAAAGAAAATGTATGACAGAAAAAGAGATCCAGTGTTGCATCTTAATTATTTTTGTATTTCTCTTTGTATATATATATATGCGTGTGATATAATAAATACGAATTTTTACAGATATACAGTCATTGATATGACAGTTATTAAATATAATGAATATACATTACTTCTGACATCACATTCTTTCTGATATGTTCTATTTTTATTCTAGAAGGTATCTCAGTGGTAGAATCATGTACATTATCTTAGTGAATTATTGCAATCTAAACTGTAAGATTTCAAAGGTGTAACTGATATTCCACAGCTCAAATCTTCAACTTTTCCTTCCTTTACCTGTAAGAATTATTTTTTGTTAGAGAGGCACAGAGAGCACATACATAAAAATTTTCAAATATCTTATACATACTGCTCTATAATCGAGAAACATTTCTTTAAAAGCCAAAAAGTCAGTTATTGTTGACAGTACTTCAAAAACTTCACCTTCTAGCTCTGCTTGCTTTTCACTGAATTTTATTGTATTAGATAACATGCAAAAATAAGGAATTCTTATTAAAGTTTATATATATTTTTAGCTTTATATTACTATATTATATAATTATATATTATTTAATTGATGACAAAAATAAGAAATACTTATTAAAGTTTATATATATTTTAGCCTTATATTACTATATTATATAATTATATAATATTATTACTTTAATTGATGTAACAAGATATCTATAGTAAATTGTGGCATGACTTTCTGAAGGTAATTGACAATATATGCCTCCACAGCTTTATTCTGAAATATATAAAATAACTTGTTACAGACAGTTGTAGTAATTTTCAAATATCAAATATTTTACGTAAAACTCACATATTCATGGAAAATATCAGTATAAATCAGTTTGTTTTCTTCCGATGGTTCAAAAATGTTCCAATATTTTTCTAAAAATGTTTTTTGTAGAGTTTGGAAATCTTTTTCTGAAAGATTTATTCATTAAAAATTAGTTAAAGGTCACACACACACACATGTTTATAAAATTTTTAAGATATATTAATCTTGTACCTAATAATAAATCCTCAATATGTCCAATCACTTCATCAAAAGAACAATCCTCCTTGCTCTTTAAAACTTGCTGTTCATCGTCTTTTTGATTAGATAAAACCCAGTTATCTGTATGGAAAGTTTAATTGAATTAATTTGTCAACAAGTAAATTATTATATTTGCGAACAATTTATATATATATATATATATATATATATATATATATATATACATATTAGTATTTTGTTATAATAAACATTAAATAGTTCGAATGTAAACAAATACAGTTTTTGTAAACTAACCCATGCTTCTTTTTCCACTTAATAATCCTTTCAGAAATGAAACACTAATCTTTTATTGTAAAGTAAAACTGTAACGAGTACAAATTGTCAGTGACAGCTTCCTATCAGGTTACTTATTAGGTTAATCGTTGCTGACATGACATTTGTTAATCGATAAACATAAGAAATTGGTCATGTTTAAAATTGGAAAGAAATACAATAAATGATATGAATGAAATATATATTTGTCCATTTTAACTATATTTATTTATTTATTTATTATAATGAAATATATTCAAATTTTAAAATTAATAAGGGAAAGATAATAAAGTGTGAAAAGTGCATGTAACGTGAACTTTTAGTACAACTACGACCGGAATTTCTGTGTCGAGTTATCGATATATATTTCGAGAATCTCAACCGATACGATCAGAGAGAAACCTGAAGGTGCAAACCATATATGTAATACTACTAAGTGGCGCGTAGAGGAATTTTGGTAGAGGTTCTCTACCAGACTCTTATTAGAGGGTCTCTACTAGCGCTTAGCTCTGGCCATTTAAATTAGGCTGGTGGCCGCTCTCATGCTTCACTCTGATACGATATATAAATCTAAAGTAAGATCCGTTTAGCGCTGCAAGTGCTTCTGAGTGACAAATAGACCAATCGCATTGCTTTATCGGACATTTCGAAGCATTTGCAAACGGACCCTGCCCCAAGTCAATTGCTCACAAAAATCTTCGTTGTAAATTTCGTGACGTAAAGTTTTCCATGACCGTAAGTTTTATGTTTATATTATGGCAAAATATCGCTGAAAATAATAATTTTGTGGAATAAGAATGTCGAATAGAACGTTTTTGGTTAGGGCAGATTGAGTTTTAAATTGCTGTACTTTACTGTTTTAACTGTCGTAGATGATTTTACAATGAATTATTATAATTGAGGAAGGCAAAGATAAGTTTTGTATACTTGCGTAGAGTAGAATACATATATTCATCTCGCGCATACATACACATATAGAACAAGATCTATTTAGAGTACTGAGTGAAGTGGGCGTACTTCTATACTTCGAGAAATTCAATCGTCACAATATTGATTCAATTTCGGCATGATTTCTCGTCCTATCTGCAAAATGGTTCTGATTTCTTGCAATTTTGACTTGCCTCGGGTGAGTTTCGGATGCAAATTTTTGTCGAAAGTGCCGAAAGAAAGTATTCCGCGCGTATAAAATGACAAAATATCTTTGGACAACTGCCGACTATGTCCATCTCGCGGAACAAGTCGTTGGAAGTGCCGACCAACGTATCGCCAATGGTCGTGCTTTAAGATCTGAAAATTTAAACATTATTTCGGATCTATCAGAGGAGAGTCCGATATATGACAAAGTGGACAAAAGTAAGAAAAAAGCTACAGCTTTTCGTCATTTCAGTATTTACAGCTTCTTTCTTATTAGAGCATTCTCTCTCGCTTTTTCCATTCGTTTCTTCTCTGTTGCATGTGGCGGACCGAGAGCCAATCAAAAGTTCGCTCCCAAATTCAAACAGTTTAGAAGCATTCTGGGTATACCAACTGAAGTTTCTTGCACGAATCGCAGTGACAATATGTCGGATCGGTCTCAGAGTGAATCGCGATGCAGCAGATCGTATTCGGTAAGTCGTTTTATATATCACGCTGTCTCGCCGAAAGTGACTTCGTGTGCAAGTTATTGTACCGGGAAGTAAGTTTCGGAAGTAAGTGTCGTGCAAGACATCATTGAGAAGCCATCCCGAAGGCAACCCAGTGAAAAAATGACTTATTGATGGTCGAAAAGACGTCAAATCGACGTCGAAATCGTCAAATAGATGTTGATTCGACGTCTTTTCGACGTCGGTCGATAAGTCATTTCTCATTGGGAAGACGTCTTGCGACATGGGCCGTTGAGAATATCGAGTGAAATTTCGGGCGTTCGTTCGTCATGATAGTTGGAGTTTAAATAGTTGTGTGTTGTGCGCGTTTTTGATACTCCGAAGAAGAATCTCGCGTGCGAACTATCGTGCCGTTCGTCGCAGTAAGATTTCGACAACCAGTTGCCGAAAATGGATAACACGAAACGACCTATCGGGAGTGCCGCATAAATCCTCGCACGTTCCATGCGTTGCATCGTCTTGTGACAGTGCCAGGTTTGAATATTCAGAAATCATTGCGTCGCCAACCTGCTGAAGGGGATTTCCCATAAATTCATCGGTAGTATTGAAGGTTAGTTTTTCATATGTTGAGATATATGCTGGAATACTGACATTATCGACGTGTAGTCTACAACTTAAGTCGGTACCTGTCGGTATCCAAGTCGTTTACCCTAGTCGGTAAACTTATACGTCGGTAATGCTAGTGTTTCTAAATTTTGGGACCGAGACTAAATATTAGAGGAACGATGGCAGATGGCACTAGTGCCATATTTCTCACAAAATAAGAGTCGTACAACATAGGCGTCGTACGAGGGATATAAGTTTAACTATTGAGACGTAAAAAATATAGATAATTTGAACAAAAACTAATTGGAACTAAATTTTCGACTTATCAAGCCGCAATTTCAAAATAAGAGTGTGATTTTGGGAATAGTGTTTATTTCTTCCCTATTCCTTTTTATTTATTTCAAATTTCAGAAGGAAATAGTCATTTGATACCCTTATAGAAATATCATACTAAGAATCATTGATAATTACTTATTATCCAGTATTTTTAATACTGAAAATAAGTAATTATCAATGATTCTTAGTATGATATTTCTATAAGGGTATCAGAGTATATTTCTTCTATCTGCCTGAAATAAAAATATGACATTTCTATTTTTTATATGTTGCAATCAATATCGATTCTTTTTTTTTTATTTAAGCTCGTCTTGTTAATAGTTAATAGTTTCATAAATGGCATATTTTTAAGTAATTTTAATAAATATAAATTTAATTGAAAAATTTATTTTTTTGTAAATTTGGATGATGTCACGTAGATACATGTTTTATTTTAAATATTTGCAATTCTGTCGTATTCAGTATAAATATCTGCAGTTGTGTCGTATTCAGTATAAAATTCTTGTTTAATAACAAATGAATTAAATAACAAAGTATCGGTATATCCTTTCTATTCAATAAAATGTACTTAAATAGAACAAAGGGAAAAAAGGAATAAGGGCAAGGAAGGAAAAGAAACTTTTAACGTAACAAAGATTTATTGTTTTAGCGGCATTACTTATATAAAGAAACATGTCATTTTAATTACTTCATTTAATGAATATTTTCCTAATTGCTTTATCATACACCCGCAGGCTTCTTTCATTAAATTATCGTAGCACAATGAACAAAAGCTATTGCAATAATACACAAAGAAGATTATGCTACCTGTGTTCACTGTCGTCCATAATGCGCGCAACAATTTCATACTCCATAAAGCAACTTCATAAATTGGGATCTTTATATTCGCGAGAAATCTTGTCGTACCGTGCACCAATATTTATGGAATTCATACGAGCTCGAATGAAACCGCTTATGTGCGTCACAGCATTTTCTGTCGCAAATAGAATTATGGAGTACGTCGAATTAAATTTCGACGTGAATGTTGCTGTTGATATATAACGGGCGAAACGATTTCCAATTTATTCCGATTTATTTGCTATATTTGGGAAGCAACGGCGTATAATATCGCTTCACCTTTTGGCGTTATCCAATGATTACTATAATCGATTGCAAAAAGTGATACGCGCGTCGTGAACACAATTTTTCTTTTCATGCGAAATCATTTATTAAATAACTGGATGGAAGTAACACAAAAGAATACGAACTAATTTTAGTCAGTGGGAATAATAAACACTTTTTTCGACTAAAATGATTAATTAAATACATGCTATAATAAATTCAATTAAATTACAATTTTAATCAAAATATTACTCATAATTATATTATTATCACGTATAATACGATATACGAAACGAAATAAAATTTCGTTGTGCGTAATCGGATATTCTTTGATATTGCATGTATTTAATGCGAGAAATTTATATTTAAAACATATCGTATAAGAGTTACATTTTCTGATAGAGTCGACTCTTATTCTGTTCTGGTTCATTTTAATATAATCTTAAAAATAATATCGAAAGATATTTGTGGGCGATAAGGACACTATAAGTTAATAGACATTTATTTAATTGGAGAGTTATTATATATAGAGCGGAATTTCAAGTTCCAGTCTAGTCGTTCGAAGAATTTCGTATGTTAACTATGAAACATGACTTCCGTTTGATTAATGCCCGGGCTTGTGTTAGAATACTAAAACAATAATTTTCCGTAGATAAGTGTGAAAGGATATTTAATAATGATATTTTATATCGACATTTGTGAGTGTTGTGATTATTAAAATATGTCGCTTGCCTTAGCGTAGAGACGCGGTTTGATACTTTCCAATCGGCCGCAGTATATAAGATTACATAAATTCACCGTCGCACGAGGTATTTTCCAATAATTAAATATTCCGGCGAATATCGTTAACGCGCATTACGAAATACCGCAACAATGGCGGTATCTTGCAACGTGTCAGCGATACTTGGTTGGTGCATTAGCTGACTAAAAATATGACTTTTGAAGTAACGACAGAGCATCTCTGGTCGATGCGATCACACGCGTGTCAATCATTTCTCGGAGCTGTGTAAAATTCACCGATACACACCGCATATTACAGTATATATATGCGACATTGTTCAATAATTCAGCTTATCGATAAATCTCATTAACCGGGTACGAAATGGCGCGGCGGTTGCGGTAGCTTGTACGAAGTATCAACGACACTTGTTGGTATCTTAATTAACTAAAAGCGCCGCTCTCTCGCGACGGCGACACGCACAGTCGTTCTATCTCTAATTCATCGCAATGTATAAAATCCATCAATATGCCGTTGACATTATTGCGCGAGCGATACTGTTCAATAATTCAAGATACCGACGAATCTCGTTAACACAGCACGGTACACCCGCGGCAATTGCGGCGGCGCAAGGCGCCGTCGTTAGCAACATGACACTTGTTGGTACCTTAATTAACTAAAAGCACCGCGAGAGATAACGACGGCGGGAAAAGTCGATCCCGGTTCTGTATCGACGGACTCCCCGCGAACTGTATAAAATCCATCAATCTCGCCGGTGACGTTATTGCGAGCGGCATTGTTCGATAATTCGGGGGGATAACGACCAGTCTCGTGGACAACGGAATACCGCAGCAGAAGTCGCGGATAGAGAGAAAGAGGAGCAAGGTGACCGTTCCGCGGCCGTTCCGCGGCTGTTCCGCGGCCGGCGTCGCGTGCGCGGACGCGGTAGCCGTGTTTCGCCGCTCCTAGGGTTGCTCCGTAGTGAGTGGTCGGCTCGGGCGCGCTCGGCCGCGCTCGGCAATCTCCGTCGATCTCTGCGGGGGCAGAGGCCTCCTTCTCTCTCGCGCAGTCTCTACAGTGTTCACACTCTCGCGTAGGCGAACGGCGGCGCACGCACCTGACGTCTCGTCGTCCTTTCGCGTCCTAAGAGAGAGAGATTTCGTCGTCGAGTATTACGCGTCGGAGTAGTAAGCAGGCTCGCGCGCGAGCCACGGATACAGGCTTTTTTCGCGGATTTATCTCTCGTGAGTTCTCTCTCGTAACGCGACAATCGTACGCGCCACCTGCTCTGGACCCGTGCCACCCTCACGCTGCCCACCCCCGAGAACATCGCTGTCGCCGCCGCCTCCCGTCGCCCTCGACGCTCTTCGCTCCTCGACGGATGTCCGAGGGTTCGGGCGACGGATACGCCGCGGTGAGAGGAGACACGTCCTCCGGGAGGCTGACGAGAGAAGCATCGATCGTGCTCGTCGACGTCGTCGCCGTTGATCGTTCACGCTGCCAGCTTCGAGAAGACAACGACTTCGAATTTTGGCGCGAGTGTACCGGCAAGCGTGACGTCGCGTGAACGCCGCTGTCGATCGCGCTCGATAGATCGAAGCGTCCACGTGACTATCTGAACGTCGTCGTTTCACCCGGCGCGAAATCCGATTTCGGATTCCACGTATTCGTCGCGAACGCTGCGTATCTCGCGCTTCGATCGTCACCGCGACGTGCGCCAGGGCGCTCGGAAGAACGCGATCGGGATTCCCGTATCGGAATACTGCTGCTGCTCGCCGCTTGTCTGTGATCGAGTTCTCCGCACGTGACGGATGACGAGTGTGAGAAGTCGTCGTTGACAACGACGACGACGACAACGACGACAACAACGACGACGACGACGACGACGTCGACGTCGACAGGAACTTCGCGGTAGGAGTCGCCGTGGAGTTTACAAGTGTGAGACGTGCCGCACCTCGCGGGTGACGAGGTCCGCGATCGGACCAAAGTTGAATCGCCAACGGTGTTCGCGAGCAACAATCCAAGTTCTGCCGGGTAAGAAGAACCGAAGTTGAAACGGGATCGACGTCGTCAAAGTCGTCTGCGAAGTTTCCTCCGATCGAAGGCAAAAAGCGGAGTTGAGGGACTCGCCGCGCTCCGAGAGTCGACGACGACGACTGCGATAAGTGAAACTCGACGTGAACTCGAGAGGCGAATGCGAGCGAGCGGTGTTTGTGCGCGACGGGTCGATTCGTGGTCAATCAGCCGACGCGATTAAGACGGAAACACATCCCCCGTCGTATGGGCGTCCTCGTTTACTTCCCCGACGGCAGAACGGAGTTTCGCGGGTGTTCGCGTTCGCGTGAGGACCGCGACAAGTCGACGATGAGGCTTTAACAGCCGGCAGCCTCGACGGGACTCGAAGTATGTTACTGTCGACTGTCACGAGACCGTCGATGACCGAAAGTCAGAAAGTGCTCCGAAAAGAGGAACTTCGTCCAGTCGAGACGGTCCGTTGATCGCTATCGCCGAACGCCGAGGTCGTGTTTGATTTTTTGCCGAAAACGCCTTGCGCTGCGTCGTGTGTTTATTGTTGTTATTGTTGTCGCGAGGCAAAGAAGGTGTAGTCGCAAACCTGCAGTCCAGTGCACCGCGTCCAGTGTGCTGTTGTCGTTACGTACGCTATGTGAAAAGTGACAGACGTCATTGTGAGATAAAGACTTCTCTCTCGTTTCCTCGTCGACAGTGCGGGAGCATCGCTTACGTTTTAATCCGTCTGAGATTCTGTCGCGTCGCGCGTGTGTGTTTTTGTGAGTCGAGGACCCCCAGTCGTCACCATGAGAGCCCACGGAGTGATACCGGCGCTTGGGATGAAGTTCTTCGTACTCGTAGCTGCCTGCCTCATGTCGGCCGTAAAAGGTGAGTATTAATTTTTATGACCGGTCTGAGGCGGTGTTCGCACCGTGTACCATAAAACGCGTTTGGCAGCCTTAGCGGGGAATTGGAGCAGCCGTCATTTCGACGAGTTTCATTGGCTTTGCGCGATGAAATTCCTCGATCGTACGTAACATAGAACCGGCAATTGTTACTCCTAAAATCTGCTCGTCTTGTAAAATTGCTGGCGAGACATTTCGCAATCCCTAACTTGTATGACTTCTTTTCGCGTGAGTAAAATTGATAACGTTGTGCAATTTTGTGTTGTAATATTTTTTATAAAGTTTCTTTAGAAACGCTGTTGTTATAATATCTTTTTTCGATTTGGTTCTACGTTGCGTAACTATATTTTTCTTTTTCTGCTTCCCCGTCTCATTTTCTCTTTGAAATGAAGCTTTTCTCAATATAAAATACGTTTGTGCTTGTGATCGTTATCTTTTTTATAATGTATCTGACGTGATTTGGTAATTCTTCAAGTGTTAAATGAGATTTTGTCTGAGTAAACCTTACTTGGAATTAACTAAAGAAATGATTGAAAATTTTATTCTTATTATCAGAACTTTTTTGTTACACAGTAGTGAAAGCTCTTTGTTTTTAATCGTTTGTAACACGCGAACTATTAATGCCTCCAAGTTTCACTCGAGGAATATCGACCCCAAATTAGTCGAGAAAATTTTATTGAAAGATTCAGGACATATATATACTGAACACCGGTCTAAATCCGCCAAGTCGATTGAAGTTTCCCTGCTACTAGAGGCAGGTGTACTACGATACTCCAGGTGTCCCAGGTTAACGATACAAAATTGTCTCAAGTATCCACAGGACGAGGGAAGTAGGGTTGACCTGGGACAACCCGTACATTATTCGCAAATAATTCCACGGAAAGATTCCACGGCATACTTTACTTTTCAAGGCTAAACCTTTAAGAAAACATTCATATTATCTTCCCTTTTCTTTACTCTCTGTCTTTCTTTCTTTCTCTCTCGTTCTCTCTCTCTTTCTCGATGCTTGAAAATTTGTGGTCGTTTCATCGGGCGATTAACAATTTTTTCATCAATTACGACAATTACTCTGACAACGCGCTAGATTCGGCGAGAGTAATAATCGTTATAAGATCAATCCTACACACAACTCTGAATATAAATTTGCAACGGTAAATCAAATAGATCATTAGACATATTCGATATCAAATTTCATTCGGTATCGCGATTACCGTGATTGCATCCGTATGCATGGCGTGATAATGAAATTACGTTATGGCATAATATTATTTCCTGAAATTGGGAATTTGGGATTATTCTTTTTTAGCTTTAGCATAGATTACCATTAATATATTCCTATATTGTTGTGCCGCGGCTTCATTTTCACGAGGCTGCCCGGCAAACTAACTGACAATACTATTTACGTGCTCCATCGATCGATCCATTTTGCGTCGCCGTTTGTGGGTCCTCTTATTTATTGGCAGTGCCTATATGTCGAGCAAAAAAAGGGACGTCGTTGGACAATAAGCCCCGCGACGGCGTGAATATGCAATATTGTTTGCATAATGCACTCGCATTAAAAATGCGATGACACTTCCATTCGGACGGCGGCGAAATATAGCAATATAATGATGAAGCGCGAAGATGCAGGATATTTCGTGAAATACGTTTTAATTTTAAAATATCGCGCGTGCTGCCCTGCCGTACGCTCGCGTATAATTCAACCTCACGTTACTCTCGCAAAAACGAGCAGCACGAAGATAAAAACAGCGCGCGCGAGATCGATATTGTGTAATATGTTTATCTATTAAACTACGCGGAATAAAGGTACGCTGCGCACAAAAAAAAGGAAAAAAGAAATAAAAGATTAACCTACGGAACATGACGGCATTACGCGTGATATCCTATTACTTTATTTTGCGCACTGATTTAATTGCGAATAGGAACCAATTTCAAAACTGTACGGCACTGAAGAGTTATCGATATCGCGCGGACTTTTGCATTTTACTTTACAATTAATGTTGAGCATTATTTGCGTCATTATACTTATATCAGTTCGCAAAGCCGATATCTCATCCTATTAATCGCGCGCGTAGCGATTGATACGTTCCACTTAATCATTCTTGTACTCTCGTTTATCGTGTAATGATGCAATTTTTGTGCAATGTGAGCGCCGTAAATTGCATCATTAGGCACGTTAAAGCGATTAAAAGAGAGGAAGGGAGCTTTAAGCGTATCGAAAAGAATTTTCCATTGTGGACGCTACTGATATCTTTCAATAGAATCGACACTGTTGTTAGTGAATATTATTACGTTTGCGCCGCAAACTTGCTTGGATCCTTGGAACGACGTATGTTAAATCGATGGATATTAAGTTCACTTATTAATTTGTCGTTCTAATACAGCAAAAAGTCGCCACGAAAAACATTTAAAACCGTGGGTTTATTAACTTTTGCTATTTCGTGACGACACGAAAAGAGACTCGACGAATAAATAAGTTTTCATTTTCGTTATGCTCCGTTACGTTTGTCCGGATTTTCTTCTTAGTGAATTACTCATTAAAATTAACGGCCATATATGCAGACATGTTGTCAGCAACATTGCATATTCGACGAAAAAACGCTCTTTCAAAGCCAGTGTTGAATGTGACCCAATTCGGGCGGCATGCGAATGGGGACGCGTATGCTTTTGAGGTTTAATTCGTGAAAATGTTTCAATTTCGAAAATTACACGGCTCGATAATCGACCGTTAAATTAAATTACCGTCGAGAGCGGAAGGTTATTCGGCAAGTAGCGAAGTTTCGTCGTTATTTATTTAGCCTTTCCGCCGGCTCTTACGCGATAATAGCGCGATACATCGCAGGGCTCCGTCGCGTATATCACTCCATTTGCATTCCGTATATCCTCATAATCTTGTACTTTTCTTCGAGCACTTGGACCCCGGGTTACTTGTTTTATTAAGCGAGCGCGGCGGCCGTGAGTGCATAAGCTAAAGAACTACTTGCGTTACCCGCGCGCGACCCGAGCTCTGCCCGAGCTCTCCCCGAGCTCTTCTCGGGCACGATGAAGACATGAATTTCGCGAGATCACTAAAGTAATCGTGTTTTGCATCGCACATTTTACATACCGCGCGGCATTCTCACTCGCAATGTCAAGCGTTGCAGCGCGGCAGCGCGCGTTATCGAAATATCATATCAACTAATTATTGCGCGGTCACGTAGATAGAAGTACAGCTGCTGGTGTTAAGCTGCCTATCGCTACAAGCAAAATATATAGAGTGGTTACCGATAATTCAGTAATATAGTGTATTACGTGTGTATCCTTGAATGAGTCGATGCTTTGGTCAGCGAACATTTAATTACAGGTCCGCGTATTTGCCTACTTAACTGTCGACATTAAACATTCCGCCGAACAAGTCGCCACTCGGGTCCTTGTTAAAGCGCAGTCCACCTCAAATTTAGCGAAAAGTTATTATTATTATCCGTCCCTTTGTGGTTTGCTTTAATCGTGATCGAGTTGCCAGTCTACTGAAGTTCAACTTTGCAAGAAATTACTCGTTTTTGCTGTTAGCCGAACAGCCCGCTAATTCACGATCGTGACTTAAATTGCGTCGCAAAGAATAAATCGATATTTCGTTTCTCCCTTACATATTTCCCCGTAGCGGAGCGCGATAAAGTGTGTCACGGTATGCAATCGTATCGGCATATTCGTGCTCGCGCGGGAACTGTCGACGGGCGAATCCTTAAAACACGGGGGATCGCGATGTGTAAGGACTCGGAAAACTCCGTTGGATCGTCGCCAGAGTCGATTGTTGTGCAGCCGCGATATGAGATTATATGCGAAAGATAGCGGACACACACACACATACAGGATGGAACGAGAGAGAACGCAGATTCGGGGATTTGGCTTGCTAAAAAGAACGTGCCACTCGTTATCCCGCGAATTGCGAGTGCTCTCTCCTAGTAGTCGGTGGATCGCGAGTATGCCTTGAGCGGCTGAATTGCGGATTCACTCGTGATCCTCGATGGAGCCGTTATCTCCTTCTTCGCGGTCTAGCAGCGGGGGGTAGGCAAGGGTGAGGAGAAGGTGGAGGGGGAGATGGAGGAGGAGGGCACATAATTACGAACTTGAACTTTCGAGTAGCTGACGAGCGGCCGATTGATGACGCAGTGCCTTTTCGTTCGACCCTTTTTGGTCGGGAAACTTGGAGCGCGCGGTAGTTTGTGAAAGTCTGCTTGCAATTGCAGTTGTTCGACTACGTCTCCCGCAATGAATCAATAATATGCGTTTCTCCACAGAGAACGATTGTAAAATTCCCATTTAACTTGAACGAGAGGTCGAACGAGAAGTCGAAACCTACAGGAATGTTGGTTATTTCGCCAAGAGATCCACGCGTTTAATCAAATGGAAAAATAATCGTGCGAGAATCTCAAGTCCGAAGATCTGCTTAACTCGAGAATTGTCAGCGCCTTGATATTATCATCTTTTTTTCGTTCAAAGTAAAGCTGTTGCAATTTAATCGAAAAATAATTGAGAACAGTGTCGGAATTTCAACTCTTCGCGTACAATCATATCTTCGGAGACACACAGCACAATCTGGATCTGTGAGAATCGAGTAATTTTGAATTACCATAACTTTGTTGAAAATCAATATTTTTGAACACATCCTTTTCCAGAAATATACATTGAGAGAAAAAAAAATATCTAAAAAATTGTAAATATTTAACTAATAATATAAACATATTTGCCTAAATCTAAATTATTCCATTTAAATAGAATAAACAATTGCTTTATTTACTCTAATGAGAAGCTACGGTTTTTTAAGGAGTTCTAAGAAAATGTATATATTATATATTTGAAAAATATTTTATGTTAGTATAAAAGTGAATATGTTACTAGTATTTTTCGCGAATAAATGTTACTTAGATATATTTCCTCTCAATGTAGAAAAGCCTCAGCTATATAAGATGGTAGCTCGATGAAATAAAAATGTCCAAGTAACGA